CAAACCCACACTTAAGCCCATACTGGCATTCACACCCTTGCCCTAAATATCTCTAGTTTTCCAGTCGTGGATGTATGGGTGTATGAGTAGATGAAGTTTATAAGAACGAACATTCACATCCAATCCATTATAACGTCTCTCATATGATATCAATATGCAACATTGATGCCTGAGGCGTTTTGAGAACTCATTTAGGGGTCCAGATATTGTCGCCACAAGCTTCTCTAGTGACAATGAGTTGATGATGACAAATTCTCTACAACTTGTCTGTGTTGTGTGAGCAATCAAGAATCCGGAATGAGTTTTCGGCTCGACTGTAGTTTTCTACGGAAACAGTACGATTTTGGTTTTAGCAAAACTATTTCCAAGGGGGAAAAAGCGAGACTTCATACTTCACGTACTTCACCGTACTTCACTGTACTTCACTCGTACTTCACTGTACTTCACCTGTACTTCACTTGTACTTCACTCGTACTTCACTGTACTTCACTCGTACTTCACCGTACTTCACTCGTACTTCACTGTACTTCACTTGTACTTCACTCGTACTTCAGAAGTACGAAGTCTCGCTTTTCCCCCTTGACTATTTCACAGTTTCTGAATAATTTCCTTCAGTCATACGAATTTTTCAAAGGATCAATGATTTAAATTGGTATTATATCATTGAAAGGGTGTGGGATGTGGTTGTAAAAGAAGAACTAAACCCAGATACAGCAGCAGCCATAGCCACAATCATACATTCACACCCCAAAAAAGTGTTTTTTGGCGTGTGTATTGTAAAGGGGAACAGAAAGCAGACTATAAAACTGGAAATTTATGGTTATTATTTTTATTCAGCACTTATGGAATTTATCTCGATGACGAGTTATATTAAAACGGTGTAATTTTGAATTTAATCTTTGAAGTATTTGCCTAACCACTATCAGAATTTGTATCATGGAAGAGCATTTTTAATCATAATAAAAACGTGAGTATTTTATTTTCTTTTTAAGAAAAACTCAATTTTGAATAAAGAAGTTTATATAAAGGCTTATATTGTAGCCCGCTAGTAAAAAATAAATTAATTTTTAGTAGAAGAGTCGTGAAAAATGACGTTCAAATTCTATGTACTAGGATTGCACCGACTCCAAGCCTAATCAATTCCAACTCTTGGCCTGGAATTGGTGCACTCCTACTATATACTAAGTACAAATGAATCATCTGTGATGGACATGTTTGATAAGTATCTTTAGGTACTGCTCTAAGCTAAACAGGCGAGGGTGAGATAAAAATTATGCGATTGAATGGGCTACAAATAAATATCTATATGTTTGAATACATCGAATCAACACTCAGATTTTTAAACAGAAAATATTTGTTTTTACTCTTACAGGTGGTATTGATACGTGATATTTAAAAAATAATGCCTCATGAATGAATATAGATATGTATATACATGTAAATTCATTTAGAGATGCTTTTCAAGTTAATGCAGACCACTAAAGAATACCGATTACAAAACTTTAACTGCACATATTCATTCGCAAAAAATATATTTTTCAATTTTCAAGCCATTAGTTTACTTTAATTTTATGACGAGAATATGTTTTAGCAATTATAATATAAGAAAATATTTAAATAATCGGTGAAAGATAGAGCTGGAAAATTTTAGGTCAATATCAGATGATCTAAAGAAAAACGATGTAGATGCGGGTGCGGGTATGGGTGTGGGCGTTAAAATAATATACAAAACCACACTCCACACTCACGCCCACACTCCACATCTACATCCACACCCACACTATATCCATCTATATGTTTGCTTGTTTTTTTCAGATTTATTCATTTATAAATCAAGGTATTATAGTGTAATTGATAAAAAAAAATGGCGCAACAAGCGCCAAAGCCAACGTTTTCCGTCGAAGATACATGCAAAAAATTGAAAGTTGAATTAGCACGATTATTGAATGAAAAAGATGGCGATACAAGCCTGCCTCAAGTACTCATAGATCGACTCATAGATAATGTGCGTCGGCTAACCATGGAGCAAGCCGGAGATATTCTTCGTTTTGTATTCTATCCATTCGGAACGGGCATACTCAATCTCAATTCTCAGGTATAAACGAATCGATCAACATGTTGATCTGAATTTTTGAATTAAAATCTAGATTTTTGTGTTGAATAAGATCTGAAAACTCGTCTCATTTATTTGTCCTATGTACATAAAAAAACAAGTAAAAGGAAACAATTTCCACAAAATTTATGAGACTGACTGTTATTGATACTATTTTTCTAGGAATCGATATTTTTCCATTTCGTATCAATTTCTAATAGTTTTCATATGTTAAGAATATTCAATAAAAATCATTTCTTACATTTTTTTACTTATGTGTTTAACAAAAGACAATGAACATAAGAGAATTTATGAGAAAATGAAATTTCAGTATGATGAAAAATCTATTGATTTCATTTGTTTTCCGAACGTTTACTATCACTCATGTTGTCTAAAATGCTGAAAACGGTTTAACATTGTGTTGCTGACCGGGTGAATCTAATATTTAATGAAAATTTTAAAGAAAAAAATACTCTTGCAATAGAACACAATGATCATAGAGAATTGAAATAGACAAAAACTAAATAAGTCTTATCTTTTTTTAATGTATGGTAATAAAGGACAAAATCATTCTCGAACAATTTGATAGTAAGTATATCACTGTCGATTCGTATGCACATTGATTTTATTTATCTTTCAGACGAAAATCTTAAAAATCTATGTATCAGTTTGGAAAATATGCAATGTTCTCAAAGCTTCTCAGCGTTTGTTTAATGTTTGTTTTTCAGATAACCTTGGAATCAACAAGGAAATTGAGACTTCTGAGAGTGAACCAGAATCAGAACTTGACACAGGACAAAAACTATAATTTATGTTCTATACTGACGTTCGTCGGAATGGAATAATACCTCGGAGTAGGACAGGCGAGAACAAAAGAAATTGTCCTGTGTTCACTTCTTATCAGAATCATCAATAATACCAGTTTTCACTCATGAACTTTGATATTTTTATGAAACGATAAAAGAATCTGAATGAAATACTAAGCGTACTATTTGACTCAGTGAATAAGAAATAGTTATTC